CCAACAACGTAGTTGTTCAACCTACAGGCCAACTCTCTCTCTCTCTCTCTCTCTCTCTCTCTCTCTCTCTCTCTCTATATATATATATATATATATATATATATATAGAGAGAGAGAGAGAGAGAGAGAGAGAGAGAGAGAGACTTTTTCCAATACCCAGTTCATATCTATTGCTAATATGGCTTATAAGCAAAGCAATCTAAGATGCAAATTTGCATAAGATCTTGATTTATTCATTAACTTGCATTTGATTGCCTGCACAAATTAACCATGGAAGTGTGGATTAGAACAGTTTCTCAAAGCAGTCATAAATTGTCAGGTAATGATTAGTAAAGCTCATGATGAACTGAATGGAATAGATTTTGTTGGCTTGCATTTAATTCCCTGCAAAAACTAAGCATGGAAATATGGCTCAGAACAAATTAGCAGTCATAAATTATTAGGTAATGATTAGTAAAACTCATGATGAACTGAGTGGAGTACTCTGGCATCACTCAGGAATAGAATTTGTTGGTTTGAGTTGGGGACAGCAGCTTCTGATGCTGCACTTGATAGATTGATGCTGCTGCTGTTTTGGTAGGAAGTATGGGGAACATTACCACAAAGAAGAAGTGTGGTGCCTTTAACAGATGCATGCACCATGGCCAGTGTTACCTGCACAGATCCAAACCCACATGAGGAAGTTTATAGAGCCTCAAAAATATTCAATGAGAATAGTTCGAAACTTTAATGTAATGAGAACCACATCTTCTTGGCTGCCTTCTTCTCCACCAGTGCTGTGCCTCCAAAAAGAAAGAAGAGAGTGATTAGGAGAGGGAGGAAGAGGGAGTGAATCTTCCTGCTTGTCCAAAATAGCTGATGTAAAGGAAGTGAGGGAACAGTGTGTGGAATAAGGATTAGAGAGGGAGAGAGAGAGAGATGGAGTGACTGAGATAGCTGACGTAAAGGAAGTGAGGGAATAGTATGTGAAATGAGTATTGGGAGGCACTTGTTTGATTAGTAGGAAAGTGTTCTGTCCTCCACTCTCCGACCAGCATTACTCCACCTCAAATTGTCAACTCAGATCTCCTCCGTATTTTCAACAAAACATAATAAATGTTGCATAGTAGAAGAGCATCAGCAAATAATAATAATAATAATGATAATATTTTACATTTTTTATAAAGTGAGAAATAGGAAGATGCAATATTTTAAACTTCCACCATTATTTAGAAAAGTCATATAATCGAAGTCTTGATCGAATTCGATGAATAACAAATAATGCTTAAAAAATAGATAAATATTTTAAAAAAAATTCTAGAAGCCTAATCTAATTTATTATAGAGTGCTAACAATAAAGAAAAAACCTTGATATTTAATTTTATATTTTTAATATTTATTAAATAATAATTCGATCCGATGGATCGACGATCGAACGATTAGTTGGATTATAATAACTACACTCTTAATGTGCAACAGTTTTATTATATTTTATTATCAAGAAATGGTAGTGTTTCATATCT